CACTTTACTCCTTGAATGCCATGAGTTGAGCAACTACTTTCTGCCATGTCATTTCAACTTTGGAGCCAGTGAACTATGGATGGAAACATTCTGAAATCAAAATAAACTTTTCTACTTTAAGGTGTTTATGTAAGGTATTTGGTCCAAAGAATGAAAAGTTGACTAGTACAGTAGGAAAGTGATAAATATTCATTGCATAAAAGTTTAAATGTCTTTTTCTGAGACAAAGTAAAATCAGCAAGTGAATATATGAAAAAAGTGTTCCATATCACTGGTCATTCGAGAGATGCAGATGAAAACAACACTGAGATTCCACCTAGCCCCACAAAGAATGGCTATCAAGAAATCACATAATAACAAATGATGGTGGGGCTGTGGGGAGAAAGGAACCCTTCTCCATTGTTGGTGGGAGTGCAGACTGGTGCAACCACTATGGAAATCAATATGGAGATACCTCAAAGAGCTGGGACTAGAGGTTTCATTTGACCCAGCCATCCCTCTGCTGGGTATCTTTCCAAAAGAATTAAAAGAATCATATCACAGTGATATATGTGCACCTTTGTTTATAGTGGCACAGTTTGTAACAGCTAAAACTTGGAAACAGCACAGTTGCCCATCAGGTGGAGACTGGATAAAGAAGATGTGGTTTTCTACAAAATGGAGTACTATTCAGCAATAAAGAATGAGAAATTAGATTCATTCATAGGAAAATGGATGCATATTGAGGATATACTCCTGAGTGAAATAAATAAGTCACACATGTATAAATACCAAATTATTTCCCTGGTGTGAAAACCTATAATGGTACTTAAGATCCTAATGATATAATTGACAATGTGAAATAGGAAGAAAAGGGCTAAAGGTGTAGGGGAAGTGGGTAGGGTAGGGGAAAGGTAATAAGGGAAAAATATGAGAAAATTAAAAAATGGAAACAAAGTCTTTATAAATAGGGAAGGGTAGAGGGGGTGAAGGGAGGGCAGGAACAAGGGGAAGAAATGAGAACCAAGAACTGTCATGTAAAGGTACAATATCCCAATGATGAATGCAACTGTACTGTATACCTAAAATATACCAATAAACTCAGAGAGAGAGAGAGGAAAACACGTTTAAATGTCTCTGTACATTTGTTTCTCAGACTTCCAGACTTTTAAAAAAGGATTAAATTGGATTCAATATGAAAATTGCCTAGAATGGAGTATCTAACCAATATATTAATTCTTCCTGTTAACTAAAGAATAAATATACATCCAAAGTCGTAAGACTTGCTGCCAAAGTGGATTGAAATCCAAATGAGTTTATGTTTAATATTTCTCTATAAACCCTAGAAAAGCACAACAGTTTTTACATTACCAAAAAAAAAGTGCTGGATTAGAATTGATTCTTTGAAAGCCAGAGATATCAAGTGGGTCGTGCAACTTAGTATGCATATCCCCAGCTTCTATGTTAAAGAAAGAAAAAAGGAGAGAAGAAAGAAGATGAGAAATATGAGGAAAGTATAAATTTTCTCTGTCAAATGAGAAAACGAGATGCACTGTGTTCTCACAGGCACTCCTTGTTTCCACATATATCTCCCTCTATACTTTTAAAATCTGTTGCTTCAATATTTAGTTCTGCAAAGAACCAAAAATGAATGGTTTTATTTGCTTTTTCATTACCTTTCAAGTTTTACATAATGTATGGCTTATATCTAGATGTCCCCCTAAAACCTAGAGATTGGATTATAACTAACTTCCTGCTGGGAGGTAGGACCTGGTCAAATGAGGTAGGTCACTGTGGAAATGACTTGGAAGATTATGTCTCCTTTCTCAGCTCTTTCCTTGGTGATCTCTGCATCCTGTCCATTGTGCAGTGAGCAGCTGTCCTCCACCATGCCTCCCCTTTCATATCAAAGTGCCTTGGAGCCAGCTGACTGGACTGAAATATGAGCAAAAATAAAACTTTCTTTCTTTAAGTTGTGATGTCAGGTACTGTGTCTCAGCAATGAGAAAGTGACTAAGACAGACTTTGGTGCCAGAGAAGTGGGGTTGCTGCTGTGATGCTACCTGACCTTGTGGTTCAGAAACCTTTGGAAGTGGTTTGAGGGAGAAGTTTGGAAAGGTTTGGAGATAATGGAAAGAAACGTCCTAAAAAGTTGTAGGCTAAGATTGATGAGAAATTCTGGTCAAAACTCGAGAAGACTAGAATGCTGCTAGAAATGCAGATGGTAAAGACCAGACTAAGGAGGTTTCAGTTGGAAAAAAGCACTCTACTGGCAATTGGACTCTAGGATATGTGTGCTTTGGCAGAAAATTTATCTAAATTTTTCTCACATCCTGAGACTTTGTTGCAGACTGAGATAAAAGACAGCAAACTTATTATTCTTGTAGAAGAAATTTCAAGGCAGCCCAACCTTAGACCATGGTTATTGTTTGTTTCTTTTAATAAGATCTACTGTGGGAAACAGTAGAAAAATGCCCATTTAAAATGTTTCCAGTTTTCCCAGAAAGAAAGTGCCAGCAAAGATGAAGCAGAGGAAAGCTTGGTTGCTGAAATTATTAGCAATAAAAGGAAGCCAAGTGCTTTATAGAAGGATAATAGGAAATCTTTCCTCCCATTCAAGACCTGTGAGGAACTAGCAAGGCCCTAAACTTTGAAGGCTCAAATTTGTGAAAGCGAAAGACTTTGCTTTTAGAAGACAGCCTCAGGACACTGTATTTAAGAAGGGCTACTTAAGAAATATGACTCCTGGGATTCAGTTTACATCCCTCAGCTATCCAGGCACTTGTAGACCTCTGTAGCCATGCTACAAGTGATCCTAGCTCTTGCTCTAGCTGGCAGTAGTGCTTAGGATTATCCACATGGTGTTGTGGAATACAAGAGTAGTGGGGTCAGGAAGGATTTAACCTAGATTTCAGAAGGAAGGCCTGAGAGCTAGCCTGTGTGTCCCTGGGAAGGAAGGCAGTACATAAAGTTCTGAGAGTGAAGCTAAAGTGTGGTGGATACCTCAAGAAGGTGGAAGAACCAGAAATGTGGATTTTCTGAGGGAAGACAAAAGGAGTATGCAAATCCAGCCCAAGAGAGAAGCCATGAAGGCTACATCCACCAGCAATGCCATAGGGTCGTGGTCACCCAAGCCCTTCGGAGTTCCAATCTCATGGCCACAACTTGCCCCAATTTGTAGACCATGAGCAAAAGATTTCATGTTTGCTCTGCTGTGCTCTGGTCTTGCTTTGATATGATTTTTTAAAATCTCCCTCTCCCTTCCTTTTGGAATGGGAATGTTTACCCTGAGTTATTTTATGTAGGCAGTGCTTAACTTTATTTTTGACTTTTATGGGGGGGTCACAGATAGACAAGAGTTTGTTTTAAGTCTCAGAGGAAACTTTGGACGTGGACTTTTCATTATGCTGGAACTGTTAGGACTTTGGCAACTCCTGGAGATAGAAAAAATGAAAATTGCATAAAGAAATGTGCATAAGTCTTTGGGGACCAGGGCAGAATGCTATGGTTTTTAGCTAGATGTCCTGCTAAAAGCCTCATGAGATCATAGGTGGTACCTTTGGAAGGTGATTGGATTATAGGCACACTATAGCTGACTTCCTATTAGGAGGCGGGTCCTGGTTTGAAGAGGTAGATCACTTTGAACATAATCTAGAAGGTTATATCTCCTTTTCTGGCTCATCATTTGATGCTCTTTGCTTCCTATCCACCATGACACCTGTAGCTCTCCTGCCATGCCCCTCTTCCATATCATCCTGCTTTGGAAGCAGTCAACAATGGAATGAAATGAAAGCAAAAATAAATCTTTCCCTCTTTAAATTGTGGTATTGGATATTGTGTCATAACAACTCAAAATGACTAAGATACAAGGATTTATGAAAACACCTGAAAATGTCCAAAGCAATCATCCCCCTACTCAAAGGCTATGTGCACTCAGATTCACATGGATACACATGTACAACTAGCAACCTCCCCTAGCTGAGGAGACATGAAAACAGTATTTTAAAACAAATAGAAAGTGATAGGACCATAGATAATACTAGCAGCACTGGCACATTCTCCATACTTACCTAGATTAGTAGCTGGCATGGTACCCTAATTTCATCATTTGCTTTCCAGTGGAAGCAAATTATTTTATTTTGAAGGAGAGTGGATGATTGTTTCCATAATAGTGTAAAAATAAAATAAAGAACAAAACAAAGAATTATTGTATTCCTCTCTGAATTATAGTTTTTAATTATGAAATTGATAACCTTTTATTCTCATAGAGCTCCCTGTTGTAGATAAGGTTTTGTGTGTGTGTGTGTGTGTGTGTGTGTGTGTGTGTGTGTGTGAGAGAGAGAGAGAGAGACAGAGACAGAGACAGAGACAGAGAAAGAAATTATGTGTGAATATGTACATTAAAGAGAGCTTATTACTGTTGACAAAATGAGTTTTCTCAATTTTCTTTTCAAAATCATAAGGAAAGTAATGTTCTATTTTTGTGAAATAAAAGATTGCATACTTTAGTAAGAAGTATAAGAATGTAATTTTCGAATTATCTTATTGCTAGGGATATATTTATACAATAGGCAACAAAAGTATGAAGACAGTTTTTATGTATGACTACTTTTGTTTTTCCTAATGTATATCTCAAAGGCTAAACTAAATAGACTAAACGCTGCAACCCATGATATAACAGTTGATAGAATTTTTATGGAAAGCCTGTGAAAGTTATTAGTCACTTATTTTGGTAAAGGTGTGTAGAACTCCACCGTAGTGCAAGGGTGGGACTAATGAAAAAAAAAGTCTTTGTAACACATGAATGCTTGAAACTACTGCTATTTCTGAGTCAGAATGAATGGGTGCATGATTGTCTGAAAGTAAAGAAATTAAATTTTGATATAAGTGATTAGAAATTTATTTTATAACCAGAAGAAAAGTCCAATAATCTGATTTTTAAAATCTAATAACTCACCCTTCCAGTTTAAACGATTGACTTCTAAGAAATTATGTTGGAAATTGTTCATGTGATACCTTACCTGCTCAGGATTTTGTACTATGTATCTCCTAATATTGGTTTGTGGATATGTAATGACTTTCACTGTTGGAGAATGGAGTTCCTATAAAAAAGATAAAAGACACTTACAAACATAGCTATTTAGTGGCCTTAGAGCCATCAATAATAACAATAGGGAGAGCTGGGGATTTAGTTCAATGATGCCACACCTGCCTTGTGAGCCAGCCCAAGGTCCTGAGTTTGATCCTGGTAG